AATGGGCACAAGTTGATGGAGAGGAGGTATAGATTGGACATCCGCAAGAACTACTTCACAGTTAGGGCGGCTAGGAGCTGGAACCAACTTCCAAGGGAAGTGGTGCTGGCCCCTACCCTGGGGGTCTTTAAGAAGAAGCTGGATGCCTACCTGGCTGGACTCATTTGAGTCCCGTTTCTTGTTTTTGGGGTTTTTGTTGTTCTCCCGCCCTGGCGGGGGGTCGGGCTAGAAGATCTACTAGGTCCCTTCCGACCCTTAATCTATGAAACTATGAAACTATAAAACTGCACGTATCGCTACAGTAAATTACTTGTCTGGATTTTGGCCATCAGATCATAATAAAAGATGGCAGGAAGAAATATCAGTTTAATATTTTCCAACACATTCATAACACACTTACCTGTGCAACATCTATGTAATTTATCAAGTCCAGGGGCCCTTCCAGATTTTTGCTCTCCTCAAGTTTCAGTTTTTCAATGGCACCAACATACTTAACTCTAAATTCTGCACAGGTATCTGAATTACTGTTGCTTTGTCCTATAAAGAAATGGTGGCGTAAAAGTGATATAGTCATGACCTGAAATGGACCTGACAAAGAATGTCTTGCTCTTGAAAGCTTTTCTGACTTTATCCCAGCTACAGAGTTGGTCCAGTAAGAGATATCTCTCTAAGACATCTTTGCTTCTCCTATAAGGAAAGAAATATAATTTGGAACAATCGTTCTACCCAAACAGTAATCCTATTCTTTTGATGCCAGGAAACGTTACTTTCTTAGAATCATAGAAAAACAGGGTTGGAAGGGACTTCAGCTGGTCATCTAGTTCAACCCTCTGCTCAAAGCAGGACTATCCCCAACTAGATCATCCCAGCCAGGGTTTTATCAAGCCAGGCCTTAAAAACTTCCAAGAACAGAGATTCCATCACCTCCCTAGGTAGCCTGTTCCAGTGCTTCACCACCCTTCTAGTGAGAGAGTTTTTCTTAATATCCAACCTAAATCCTCCCTTGCTCCACGTCCTGTTATCTGCCACCACTGAGAACAGTGGTAAACCAAACAGAACCTTGTTCTGTTATCTGCCACTACTGAGAACAGAACCACTGAAAGTCCTCTTCAAAGCAGTATGTGGAAAAATTACATGAACGAGAGTTAGCACACTGTTGGATAGTTGAGAACAATTCCTAAATGGCAAAACTGTGCTTTCAGAGATGAGAACGTTAAATCTTTTTGCTACTGTTGTAGCCACATTAAGTTGCTTAAATGAATACGTTTATCAGGTATTTCCTCTCTGTGGTTTGGTTTGGTTTGGTGATCATGTATCTAATGCAAAGTCAGGTCCCTGTGTCCAAAACCTGCTCTGAAGTTCTGAGTCAACGGAAACACTCAGTGACCTTTACCTCAAACACTGGAACAGTTTTCTATCTCAGCAGAACTTCACTTCTAGGGCCTAATATACACTGTATATCAGGTCCATGCCTGCTGCTGCACCTCTTTACATCTCATGTCTGACCACTCTCCCCAGTTCTGCTATACTTTTTGTGCAACTTCTTTATGGCTCTCCACTTCAACTTGCACCTCACGTGTTCTGACTGGACAAATGCTTGTCAGGAGACAAACTGATAGCTCAACTGGCCATGTAAATGTGTAATTCATAACTTGAATATACATTTTTCATTTCCTTCTCCATCACATATACATTTATAAATCAATCTCCTTCTGGTGAGTCTATCCCAGTTCTGGTCACGTACCTGAACTTTTAGTGGAGTCTGTATCTAGACTGGCAACAGTACTAGATCTGGAAAGTCCACCAAGACTGGAGTCTACGGACTAGTTAAAGGGGGAGAAAAGCAGCAATATGTTAAGAACATTTTAACAATTGACCTTGAGCTTTTCTACCCCATGCATTTCATTAGCATCTTAACTCATGTCTTAATCTATATAAAAGCAATCAGATCAATCCAATGAAACAAGGCCAAAAAACCCTACTTCTCAGAAGGATTAATATAATAGTTTTCTAGGCATGAATTATCCTGTCTTGGTCTCATTTACAATGATGTAAACTACAAGTGGGTTTAATGAAGTCCAAAAACATTTTGAAAAAAGTGGACAAAAATTCAGCAAAAATGAACTTTAAAGAAGTTGCCTGCAATTTTTTTCCTTTGACTCTAACATCACCTTTGGGAAATTGGCAAGCGCATACCTGTCATTAGTATTTGAAGCGATATGACCTTTAGCAATGAGATGTATATTAGAAATACCAACCATTTCAGGAAATCTGGAAGACTGAATTCATCATTCTTAACACTGAAGTTTGACAGACTATACTTATTGGCTGTCAGACCTTCCACTTTTAAGAGTTTTAAAGAAATGATGCATAAAATAGAGGCAGTCTTTTTGTTAATCTGTTCAGAAGAACCAAATTCAATAACATATTGCAATGCTGCTGTGAAAGGTCTTGTTAATAATTAGTAATATGGAAAAAAGTGCATGTTTCCTACAACCTCCTTTTCTTGTGCTGTCAGAAAGCTATCATATTTGAAGGCATAGCTGCTGAACTTAGCAGCAAGTTACTGGCCACATAGTGGAAAAAGAACATGCTAAACACTCAACTGCTCATTCTAGTCTTGCTTTCCTTTACAAAGAAAGCAAACCAAGTTGTTAATTTCATGAAAAGATATTAACATGAACTAGCCTTAATAAGGCAGCCAACTGATGGATCAAAAAAATTACTTGCTGTACATGAACATTTTGCTTCCAATTCTATATGCCAAAAGATGCAGTCTACAGTGAGAAACTTGCATCCTGAAAGATGCTAACTAGTTACAATAGACTAGTTACAATTATTTCATTGGTCATTCAAGGTCAAATACTAATTTCAGAAAATAAATTTGGACTGGATCCAATAATCCAATGCACAGAAAGCAAATTTATGTAGGATGTTGTTAATTTCATCCATCAATGAAGTTGATCAAATCCAGCCTGAGAAGATGTGTGGCTAGATCCTCTGAAATGCCCAACTAGCACGCTCTTTCCATACTTTTTACACAGCATTCAACTTGGCTAGTGAAGAGTTGTATGTCCAAAAAAAGGTCTCCTGCATTGGCACTATGCTGCAATGATCTATCATCATTTCTTAACTGGAAAATGCAAACTGTGTTAAGTCTATCAGGCAATCTCCTCATCAGGTCACCTTAGGACAAGGTGTTGTATTAGTTCTCTCAAAACACAACTGAAAGGACAGGTGAAACAGAAAATATTCTCTCACTTGCAGAGTCTCCCATTTCATGAACATCCCACTTCTAACGTCACCTCTGAATGAACCACAAAACCATATGATCATAGCAGACAAAACTGTTCTACAGACTGACGCTGCAGACCAACTTCAGCTTACCTTACTCTTGGTGCTGATTTCACTACTTTGTGAGCTGCTGCTGCTGTGTCGTTTTTTCCCTTTCCTGAACATTTTTCACCATAATTAGATCAAAGACAATTCTACGAGACAGATAGGAAAAACAGGTCATGTGACATTGCCAAGATCAGTCATTAGCCAGACACCAGCGTGGACTCTGTATCTAAACTTAGAAGCCACTTGACCCATGATTTTTGAAGACAGACCTAGGAATCAAAACTGGTCCCACCTCTTCCTACTCTGGTACTTCAACAAAATACTACAAAGTTCTTTTTGTCTGGGTTCCTCTATGTGTAAGAACAGGAGGGACTATAACTTAACGGCCTGGTTCACAAAACTGTTACAAGGATAATTTTCTAAAATAAATAATGCAGTTTGAACAGGGTACACAGAAGTAGAGCAGCCGATTAAACAGGTTTACTCAATGACTTTAGAGCAGCGGTTCTCAACCAGGCTGAGCTGCGGCATCCTGGGCTGCCACAGGATCCTTTTAAGGAGCTCAGGGCCCGACCCGCAAGACCCCGCCCCTCGCGCTGTGCCACCAGGCCCCTCCCCCCGGCCTCATCCCGGCGGCAGGGGGCAGCGCCGGGCCTGGGCCTAGGTCGCTGCTCCCAGCCCGCGGGATGGGGACAGTAACTGGGACGACGCCCCGAATAAGCAACAAACACCTCACCCCAGCAACCGGTCTCGGCAACCGGAAGTACCTTTTCACTTCCGGTTCGCCCCTCCGCCGGACTTCCGGTTCCACCCCCCCCCCGGCCCGAAAGCTGCCGGGGCGCCGCGTGTGGGTGTTGGTGGGGGAGACAGCGTGCCGCTTCGTGCCTGTTCGCCGCGATGTCGGCGAAGAGGAAGGCCGATGCCATGATCCCGGCCGAGGAGAGCGACCAGCTGCTTATCCGGCCCCTGTGAGTGGGCGGGGGCGGGGGCCTGGGCGCTGCCCGTGCCGGGGGAAACGGGGCCTGAGGCGTCCTCAGTCCTCCGGGCTGGCTTGATGCAGGCGGCGGGGGCCCAACAGCTGCGCCGGCTTCTTTGGGCCTTGTCCGACGCCTCCACCTCCCGCCTGGCCCCCGGGCCACCCCTGCCCTGGTATCCGTCTCGGAGTCTTTAGCAGCGCTGCGCCGAGGCCTGGGGAGGGGCCGGGGCTGTCTGCGGCCAGAAGCGCGGAGCGGGGCTGTGCTCTTGGCACAGTGAAAAATGGGGTTTGGTGTCTTATGCTGAGCCCTGTGGGTGCGGGAGAGCTGAAGCAATGGTTGCTGACCTGAAGAAAGGAGCAGTGAAAGCCTGCCTGGACCTGTCTCGACTCTGTGTGTTGGTCCAATAAAAGATATATCACACAAGAGCTCTTGCCTCTCGCATTGAGTTTGTGATCTGGCTGCTTCTTGGGCACCCTGATGGCCAGCCAGTGATGTATCCCCCTCCCTCTGCGCTGGCGTGTGGTCTTTCTTTCCTAGGACTGACATGGGACTTTGGAAAACTACTGAACTGTCTTTGTCATCTGCAGCCCAGATCTGTACTTTATCAAAATGATCTTATTAGAGCTCAGCTCGCATCTCTTCCAAAGTCAGAAAGTCTTGTTACCCATGTAAACCCTGTTCTTAGGTAAATGATGTCAACTCTGGTGTGACTGCACTTATTTTTTGATGCATCTTGGGTCAGTCACGCAGGCCTGGGCTCCCCTGCCAGTAATGACTACCTTAACCCTGAAACTTCAAACTTTTTTATTTAAAAAAAGGTGGGGGGAGGTTATAGATCACAAGCACACATTTTGGCTGCTTCCCAACATTGATTACTAGGGGTGCACTGATTCATAGACGCTAGGGTCGGAAGGGCCCTCGACAGATCATCGAGTCTGACTCTGCCTAGGCAGGAGAGAGTGCTGGGGTCAGCCTTCTCTTAAAGACCCCCAAGTTAGGGGAGAGCACCACCTCCCTTGGGAGCCCATTCCAAATTTTGCCCACCCTCACCGTGAAGAAGTTTTTCCCGATATCTAGCCTAAGTCTGTTCTCTGGCAGTTTGTGACCACTGTTCCTTGTTACCCCAAGAGGCGTCCTGGTGAACAAAGCATCTCTGATCCCTTGCTACATCCCCCTAATGAATTTGTAGGCAGCCACAAGATCACCTCTCAGCCTTCTCTTGTGGAGGCTGAAGAGGTCCAGGTCCCTCAGTCTCTTTTCATTGGGCTTGTCCTGTAAGCCCCTAACCATACGAGTGGCCCTCCTCTGGACCCTCTCGAGTCTATCAGCATCCTTGAAGTATGGCACCCAACTGTGGTCTGACCAATGCCACATAGAGGAGAAGTATCATCTCCTTGGATGTATCTGTTGGTGCATGATAAAACGCAGTTAGCTTTGCTAATGATTTTATCACACTGATGACTCATGTTCATCTTGGAGTCCATTAGGACTCTGAGATCCCTTTCCATTTCTGTGCTGCTGAGAGGCTCACTTCCTAGCCAGTAGGTGTGCTGGATATTGTTGCGCCCTAGGTGCAGCACTCTGCATTTGTCCTTGTTGTACTGCATCCTATTGTGTACTGCCCACTTTTCCAACCTGTCCAGGTCTGCCTGCAATCGTTCCCTACCCTCCAGAGTGTGCACTTCACCCCACA